GTCCCCAGACACCTGGGGAACCGGTGCTGCTTCCTGATCCTTTTCACCAAGGCCAGCTCAATGCCCTCCTTGGGCTCCAGGAGCACTGCTTCTGGACCTAGCCCCACCCTCACCTCTCTCTGCTTCCCTGGACCTGCACCACCAGCTAACTCTCCTAACCTGCTCTCCTATCCTCAGACCTCTTGGGCTAGGTCTATCGCATGGCCCTCTGTGCCTTTACTCCCCCAGCCTCATTCACTCTTCCATCTCCCCCGCTGTTCTCTACTCCTAGTTTGGGCCCTGCGCCATTCCTAGTCTTGGGTCCCCAGACAGCTGGGGAACCAATACTGCTTCCTGATCCTTTTCACCCAGACCAACTTAGTGCCTTCCTTGGGCCCCAGGAGCACTGCTTCTGGACCTAAAGAAAGCCCCACCCTCACCTCCCTCTGCTTCCCTGGGCCTACACAACCCGTTGGCCTCTCTCCTGGGTAAGTCGATCGCACCCTCTGCGTCTTGACCCAGCCAGCCGCAGCCTCATTCACCCTCCCATCTCCACTGCGCATCTCTCATCCTAGCCTGGGTGCTTGGCACCCCAGAACGGGGGAACCACCAGTGCTTCCTGATTCTTTGCATTCAGACCAACCCAGTTGGATATCACAGGCCCCAGGACTGGGCCTGGTCCCACCCTCATCTCCCTCTGCTTCCCTGAACTGCACAACCTGCCAGCCTGTCTCCCAGGAGCACTCTGGGCCTGATCCCACCCTCACTTCCCTCTGTTTCCCTGGGTTGCACAGCCTGCCAGCCTCTTTCCTGAATGCCGGGGCTGACCTCTCGGGGTGGGGGTCACCACTGCTTCCTGATCCTTTGCAACCAGATGGACCCAGTTCCTTCTCGAGGTACCCAGGAGATCTCTGGGCCTGATCCTGCTCTCACATCCCTCTGTTTCCCTGGACTGCACAACCCTCCAGCCTCTATCATCATAGAGGTTGACCTCTCAGCTTCCTGATGCTTTGCATCCAGACCAACCCAGTTCCTCAGTGCAGTCCCCAGGAGCACTTGGGGCCACTTCCCGCTCCCATCTTCTTTTGCATCTCTGGGTGGCATGGCCACCAGTTGCCCTAGACCAGCGTCTTTCCTGGGCCCTGCTCCCAGGCCAGTCCAACCCCCAAATTCCTGAGGCCAAAATCTTTCCTGGAAGGATCCAGACCTTAGGAGAAAGCCTGAGAGCATCTGATCCTCATCTGACTTGGGCTTCTGTGGGAACTCCTGAACACTAAAGCAATCTGGCCAATCCAATATGAAATCAAAAGAGAGAACCAGAAGTTTAGATGAACCAGCTTTTCATGCCCCAAAAGTAAACCACAAAGACACATAAAGTTCACAAAAAGAAGCAGACCTAAACTTGAAAGCTTGAGTCTCACACAAGAATCAAAAACTACAAAAGAAATGTACATGTC